GTAGGATCTGTAATCAAGGGACCCCAGACTAAATGTTCGGGGAATGAGTGAATGAGTTGAATAAATGATAATTCAGCCCCATCGTCTTTTCTTATACAGAGTTCTCTATGACCTTGACATATCCCTAGTGTGTGCTCATCATGTGCTGATGGTGGGCAGAGAGCCCTTGGGAACAGGGACCATGCTGTAGTCACATGCTATGTGAGTCCATACAGTGTGTGCCCAAGTCCCTGAACTGAAGAAGGAAACATTAAAAAGGGTGATTTCAACAAGCGAACATAAGTAAAATATAATAGAAAAGAATGAAGGTTTGGGGAGGATTTGTCTCAAGAACAACCAACAGTTCTCATCCTTTTTTTCAAATCTTTCTTTCCGCCAGAGTTGGCAGGGAGTGAATGGGACAATTTTAATGGCCCACAGGTATTCTAATAACTAGAATGAGTGGATGTACCTAATTTTCTAATTTTAAAATTAGAGAGGAGCTTGGAAACCATATAGTTCAGCTTCTTCATTTTTCATACCAAAAAGCTGAGGTTCAAAAGTTTCAATGAGTGGTTCAAAGTCACAGCTAAGTAAGATTAGAGCTTGGGCTGAGAAAGAAACTCTCATTATCTGCTCAATATTTTAGCCTCAATATTAAAGCCTCCAAGAGAAATTTATTTTCCAGAGATATTTTTAAACTTGTCAGTTCACCCTCAAGTCTATCTAACCTTCCCTTTATTCACTGGATTGAAATTTTTAGAAAGTGAGTGTGGTTATCAAAGGTGGTAGAGTTTCAACAGCAAACCATCTTTTAAACAGCTTCTCTGGGGTGGTAATGATTTCATTAATGAAATGCATTTCATCATTCACACCATGATCACATTATGCCTTAATAAAGAACTCTTGAAAGAACATTATAGAAGTTGCATTTCATTATGGAGGCAGATGCCAGACTCGTGGGTAACCCATTGGGTCAAGCAGGCCCTCAGTCTGCTCCATATTGGCCCTCCACTGACTAGAGACTCACAAGACCAGCTATGACTCAAATAAAGTCCCATGAATTCCCACAATAGTCAGAAATGAGATGTAGAGAGTAATCAAGCTCATAAACCATATCCAGGACTTGGGAGGATGCCCCAACTGAGACCTTTCAGAATTCTCTAGGAGACATAAGGGTGCTTCTTTACAAATTCTTCTTTGATTTTTGTCAAAGATAAGCTCATTCATTCATTCAACAAGCATTTCACAAATTCCTGATTTGTGAAATGAAGAGTTACTCAAAGAGTATCAAATAATTCCCAGGCTGCAAACTTAATTCCAAATGTATGGCAGAGAGCTGTTATGTAAAGTATCCTCATAGAAATCTTTGAGAGAATCAAGAAAGCCTGCTGGAGTATCCATCCGTTATTTTGCTCAAAGAGCTACGGGACGTTTGGGGGAGGAGACTGCGCCTGAGCAGTCTGGACCCGTGGGACCAGCTCAAAAAGAAAAAGGCAACTGGGTTTACTTCTATTTCATGCCTAAAGAGAAATGCAGACATTGTTTATCAAGGCTCAGAAAGGGAGGCAGGTCACCAAATAGTGTGTGAAGGCTTCTGCAGTTAGATCAGTGAAGATGCTCTAACTCTTGCTCTCCTAGGCAACAGCCCTCATCCCTTCCTGGTAATATCTGAATATATTTGAATATGCTTAGGGTGCATATGCTATGCAAACACACAATACGGAACAGAGGAATCTATGGGTATAGGCCATAATAAGAGTTGCATAGGGCATAGTAACTGATGAAAACATGAATTACTAGTGTGGAAGACCTTTTGAGGCTTCAGACTTAGAAAGTCTGTCAGTCTACAAAACCTATGTCCTTGATATTATTGATGTGGCTCAACCCCTGTTTGAATAATTTAATTAGGACGTCCTAGGAGATTGCAGAACATGAATAAAGACAGAATTCGGGTGCAAACACTTACTAAGCATCTGGTATGTCCTGCTATGCATACCTTATAAAACTGATGTGTGTAAACCATGGTTACCACAAACCTCACAGGTACACTGTAGGGTCTGTGTTTAGGGTTCTGGTGTCAGTTATAATAGAATCAGGATGTCTCATACTGGAAACAATGAGCACATATCTCCCATCCCATGTCTAATGAGGGATGTGACAGTGGGAGAAGAAAAGAGGATAAACAGTTCCTAATAAAGTACATAGTCTGAGGGGTCTTCTGGCAGCCAAAAGTTTTCCAGAAACCAAAAGTATGTGGGAATAAAGAAATAAGGAAATCTCATAAATAGCTAAAGAGTAGGAGGACCTCAACTAATAAAGTGGAATTTCACCCAAAGTGAGTTGTTTCATTACTTTGGGACTTCTGACAGTCACTTTTACCAGGAAGGAGAGGACTCCACTTGAAATGCTTAAAGAGAATGTTTAAAGTCACTTAAAAAGGAGCTGTTTCCCATAAGATCTGAGCATGCTACGAGAGGGAAATCAGCAAAGGATTTACCCATCAGCCACAAAGTAACAATCCAGTGGGGGTCTGGAGAAAGGAGGTGACTAATACACGTTGAATTAAGGTTCTTTACCACACCATGGTATGAGTCTCTCACTTTATTCTCATAGGTACCTCTGTGCCTGTTTTACAGATTTCAAGACTGAGGCCTAAAGAAAGAGTAATGTTGCCCAGTCACATAGGTAGTACATAGAGCTGGAATCTGAACTTACATTTGTCTGACTCTTACCAGCTCAGCAACAGATAACCTCAAAAAAGGAACAGGTTAAGTGAAAACCCTGGCTTAAAAAAAATCTCTCCTATGAGAGAGGGAGAACTCCCAGGACATAGTGAGAAGGAAAGGAGGAGAATTTCCTCCTGTATTGAGAACACGCAAGAATCTAGAGAGCAAGAAAAGAACTTAGAAGAGGAAGTTCAGAGCAAGCACTCAAGACAGGGTATTATTTTCCTGGATATTGGACTGATGAAATGGTTTTCAGCAATGACTCTCAGACCTGGTTTCACATTATAAATATTGGAGAGCTCTTTTTAAAATGCCCATGTCTGAACTCCACCATCAGCCAGTTCAGTCAAAATCTCTAGGGTAGGATGGCTCTCGGGAAGATTCTGTAATATACATCCACGGTTGAGAACTATTGTTTAGGAAAACCTGAGGTTGCCACAGCCAATCGCAAATCAGGAATCACTAGCTTTGCTGTGACCTCTGCTTCCATCCAATGGAACCCTTTTACGGGCAAACTGTTCAGGAGCCTCGGTCACTGTCAGGGTTCCTGTCACACTTGCTGTGTGTGCGTGGGTGGGGAACGGACTGAAGGAGATCCAGGGCAGAAGCAGCAGCACTGGCTCTGGGTTCAGTTCTCAGCACTGTCGCTCGCTGATGTTTGATTTTGGGAAAGTTAAGTTAGCCTCTTAGTCCCTGTTTCCCGATCTGCAATTGCCCTCTTCTTTGGATCACTGTAAGAAAATGAGACAGTGCATGTCAAGGGTCTAATGCAGTGTCTTGCACTTGGAAAGAGGGCAATTAACATTATTTCAGCTGCCTGACTCAGTACATATTTACATCTTGAAAGCAGAAGCTACCCAAATAGGAATGTGCAATATTCCTGACTGAATATTGTTTTCTGACTTCTCAGAGATGGGATGGGCTGTGTGGGTGAAGAGTGTCACTAACTAAAGTGTGAGGCA